CCCACATATCAGATATGAAACTGATCAGAACAGAATCAACATATACTACACATGATCTTGGCCTCCTGAAACTTTTTGAGGGACGCCCGGGCCCACCTTTGAGTTTAAGTGTTGTGGTAACCAACGGGCCTTTGCACTTTGCTAGACTACATTAAATTTTGTTGTGTTAATAGGAGTTTAGGGCATTGCCACACCAGTCTCTAAATGTGCAAAATGAGAATGACCTTCCCGCTAGAACATGGTCAGATGCATTCGTCGCATTTTTGGCTTTTCCACATTTAGAGAGTGGTGTGGCAAGACCCTTCAAGTTAGTGTTGCTAGACTACATTGTTCTGTTAGGAGTTTAAACCACTGCAGTACTTCCTAGAGTCGTGCCCATTAACACGCCACGGTTTTAGGGTTTTAGGATACGTACGAATGTGAAAACACTCCGAGGGCAAATCCTTGGGCTCCGAGGATTTCCCAGCCAAATCTTCCTCGGCTCCAAGGGACCTCGCGCCCGAGGATCCGTGTTTCACGGAGAGGAGACGGCATGCACGTAGAGAGACGTTACAATCCAGAATTCTGATCATGGCGGCACCCTATTGGCTGAAAGCCTGAAGCACAACTTTTTTTCTTTTTTTTTTTTCCCTTTTATTTTTCTGACATTGCTCCGAGGATGCCCCGAGGAGTGTTGAACGACGCCCTAGAAACGTTTCTACTCTATTTTTTTCCGCGGCCTATAGCTGAGGGGCCAAGTACTGGTGGTTTAAGACTTTAAGTGTTGTGGTACCGGGCCTCGTACTAAGCAACCGGCGTTTGCCAGGCCTCGTACTAAGCAACCGCCGTTTGCCGGGCCTCGTACTAAGCAACCGGCGTTTGCACTTTGAAATTGCTACCTTCGTCCCCCGAATATAATGTAAGGTCATTATAGCTGTATTTATAGACTGAAAGATGCCTCAAATACAGCTATAATGACTGGTGTACGTTGTATTCGGGGGAAGAAGGTAGTTCGTTGTGTGGGAAGTTTTGGTTATTGAGATATGTGGCCGAGGATAGCCGTCACAAGCGGACCCACGTGGGTGGCCGTACGCATGTGACGGTATGTCAGTCTGAGATCGCAAAGGTCTCTTCGTCGGCAGTTCGACCGTGAGATCTCACGGTAATTAATATAATCTAGGAAACTTTGTCACGGTAATTAATATAATCTAGGAAACTTTGTCACGGTAATTAATATAATCTAGGAAATGCTATCACGGTAATTAATATAATCTAGGAAACGTTGTCACGGTAATTGCAAAGGTCTCTTTGACAGTACTTAATACAATATAGGATACGTTGTCACGGTAATTAATATAATCTAGGAAATGTTGTCACGGTAATTAATATAATCTAGGAAACGTTGTCACGGTAATTAATATAATCTAGGAAACATTGTCACGGTAATTGCAAAGGTCTCTTCGGCAGTACCTGTCTCTTATACACATCTAGATGTGTACTTTGACAGTACTTAATACAATATAGGATACGTTGTCACGGTAATTAATATAATCTAGGAAATGTTGTCACGGTAATTAATATAATCTAGGAAACGTTGTCACGGTAATTAATATAATCTAGGAAACATTGTCACGGTAATTGCAAAGGTCTCTTCGGCAGTACCGAGGTATTAATTACCGTGACAACATTTCCTAGATTATATTAATTACCGTGGCAACGTTTCCTAAATTTTATTAATTACCGTGAGAAGGTTTCCTATATATTAATTACGGTGAGAACGTTTCGTGATGTAATTAGCGATTAGTGCAATAGGTCTTGTGTCCTCGTTCAGGTCTAAGACTCTGCAAGGTGTAGCTAATCTCCGGGAAATTAGCCCCACTGAGGGGGAAGGGAGTGGGTCAGCGGAGGGAAGGAGATGGACTGTGGAGGGTTCAAGTGGGAGGAACACCCCTGAGGATGACAGGGTGGCAGCGGATGATGATTGTCCTTGTGGAAGTCTTTAATTGTCAAATGGTGTGATGTTGCAATTTCAATCTTCATTGAGAGAGGTAACCTGCCTTCGCCGAAGAGAGGTAGATAGAAAGCTATGCTTGCAATGGAAAGAAGCCAAAAAGAAAAGAAAAAAGAAAAAAGATAAGAAAAGAAAAGAAATCTAAAGATCCATCACAACGGGAGGGAGCTCACTGCATGAGGATGACCATATCACCTCAGGCCGCAGTGCAGCTCCGCAGATGGACGTAAAACAGTTTTTACCCAAACAACAAGAACAACAAGAACAACAACAACATTCCATTTCAAATGGAAAATGGACCCACTGGTATGCTGCACCTGGTCCAGTTCTCAACCATGGGCCCCTCTCGACCCTTACCTTCCCCCCTCCTCTCTCCCTCCTCTCTCCCTCCACTCTTTCTCCCCTCGGCCCTCGCCTTTCCCTCCCCTCTCCCTGCCCTATTCCCCACCATGGGCCCCTCCCGTCCTTGAAAGCGCAGGGGCCATTTGCTAATTTACCCTTCTTCTCTGTTATGGTTCCAATTTTAACGGATGTGATCCCGAGAAGGAAACTGCAAGATGTTTGCTTTACGCAGACAAGGAAAAAAGGGAAAAAAGGGAAAAAAGGGAAAAAAGGGAAAAAAGAAAAGAGAAAGGAACAGACTCAACAGTGTAGATCCCTAGAGGGACATCTGTGTAGTTCCAAATTGAATCATGGATGTCCGGAAGGACTTGTTTTCCTTTTTGAAAAAGAGAATTGATTTATTATAAAAGGACACTGCAAGATGTTTGCTTTAGTACGCAGAAAAGGAAAATTTAATTTAAAAGAAGAAAGACAAAAGAAACGAAAAAGGAACCGCTGCAGTTGTTTGAACGTACCTCTGCATTATCAGCAAACGCAACAACAGCTCGTGCGGGTGTCAGCGAGGTGACTGACAAGTATGTCAGAGACTGAGCTGAGCCCGTGACAGTACTCCCGTCTCCCAACGACAGGCGAAGGGAGGAGTCATCTGAGTCATGACCTTGAAGAAGTAGAAGCGATTCTGTAGAATCTGATCGTGTTCGCCCATCATTCCGCATCATCCCAGCCTTCCTCTGTGATATTCTGAATGATTGTGTTCCAGACTTCTCAGACTGGGCACCACCCTCTGCGCTCCTGTCGGCAATATTAACTGCGTGGTTTTGGTTGCCCTCACCTCCCTCGGCATCGGCTTCCTCGCCAGGATAGTAATCCTCGTAATTGGAAATCGTTGACAAGTCCATTTCATCTGCCCCCCCATGCTGCTCACCTCCCCTGGATGATCATTATCATGACAGAAAATAACAGCCGCAGCATGATCCTAGTAAGCACTCCAACATTCCCCC